CCCAGTGTGGGTGGACTGCCTCCAATCTGCTGAAGGCCTGAATACAACAAAATATTGAATAAGAAAGAGTTTTTCTCTCTCTCTCTCTCTGTCTGTCTTCCACCCGGGACACTGGTCTTCTGACTTGGGCTGAGACTTACACCATTGGCTCTCTTGAGTCTGCTCCTTCTTAGCCTCCATAATTGCGTGAGCCAGTTCCTCATAATACATATGCACACATATACTAAATATTTCCCATTGGAAATATCTGTTTCTCTAGCGAATTCTGCCCTTTGCCCCTATCACCTGCATAGCCTTTGCCCTGGGTGACATGCCTGTGAATATGCTAGGTTACAAGGGAAAAGAGACTTTGCACACGTAATTAAGGTTACTAATCAGTTGACCTTAGCATAGGGAGATTATCCTTGGTGGGCACAATGTCATCACACCAGACCTTAAATGCAGGTAGAAAAGGAAGGCAGAGGGATTTGAAGAGTGAGAAGGATTTGAAATGCTGTTGCTGTTTTGAAAGTGGAGGGGCTGTGTGAGAAGAAATGTGGGTGGCAGAGAGCGAATACAAGCTGATACTCAGTCCTGCCAACAACCTGAACTTGGATTCTACCCCAGGACCTGCACATTAGAGCCAGCCTGACTGACACCTTGACTTCTAACCCACAGGCTGTGAGGCAGAAAAGTGGTGCTGTTTTAAGTCACTAAGTTCAGGGTAATTTATAACTCAGCAACTGTTACCAATCACCCCGACAGAAGGCTGATCCCAGGAGTGAGCAAATCCCTTTCTATTCAATTCTGACCATGGGTGACAACAATTCTGATGACACATCAGAGAGAAGACAGTTCCAGACATAATCCATTTCCACTTTTCATGTCACGAGGAGGGTGTGGGGTCCAGAGTGGGGTCGCAGACAGTGGAGAGTGGGGCTGAGGTCAGATCCAGAGGCTGGGGGTTGCAGTTCACGTGTCAAGTGCCCCAGTGCACCTAGGAAGGTTCTGGTGGGGTCAGTGGGCAGGCCCTCGGATGGGATGCTCCCACCCTCCCAGCACCCACACCCACAGCCACACCGCCTTAAATCTCACAAAGCAACTTGTGAGGAGCCAATCCCCATCCAGGAGCAGAGTCCCTGGAAATGGACACCCGTGTTTAGTGACGCCCTTGTCACAGACCTCATCTTTTCAGAAGCATCATGCCCGTTGCCCCTGAGGCACTTTGGGAAGCCCTGTGAATGAAGCTGAGGAGTGCGTGGGAGCCAGGGAGGGACATGGGCCCAGGGAAGAGAAGAGGCAGGACCACAGCCGCAGGGCCTTGGACCCTGCCTGGCAACGTGGACTTGGACTCAGCTCATCTTTCTGGTGCAGTGGAGGTGCTGGGGATGGGTGTCAAAGGGGTTTAATTATGGGGCTGACAAAAGCAGACCTGTGCTTGGGAAGGGTCCCGGTTACGTATGTCTGATAGAACAGCCAGTTAGTGGACGTCAGGAGAGGAGGCAGGGGAAGTAGCAGAAGGCAGCTACCGTAACAACTGAGGGAGGCACACAAACTCGCAGGTCTCAGCTGTCAGTGGGCAGTGGGGAGCGTGTTAAACATGCAGATGCCCAGGCACCTCCCCAGACACTCTGATTCAGATTACTGGCCCCACTGCCAAGCCACTGAAGTGCAATCTCTGGCCTTGGGGCCCAGGAATCTGCATTTTTGAAACTCCTTAGGTGCTTCTAAGATGAGCCAGGCTCAGGGAGAGGATGGTGGCTCACTGCAGCTGGGGCAAGGGGGCACTGAGGGCCAAGACCTGGGGCCTCTCAGGCAGGCACCTGGGCAGGTGCAGGAGGGACGCTCACGGGTCCAGGTTGGACCTGGCGGCAAAGTTGGGCTGGGAAGGGTGCAGATCCCAGTGAGCCCCTCGCAGTGTCTGCCTGTGGGGGTTCATGCCTATTTTCCTCCTGAGCGCCACTTGGTAACATTTCACTGCATTAAACGCTCCACCTGGAAAATGAAATTTATTTAGAAGGCTCAGGTATTTCACATCTAGGGCAGGCGATGCTGCTCTAAATTTACCGAGTCAACAGCTCATTTCTGCCGTTGAATGGGTTGTAGATCTTGTGACAGAAGCAAGTAAGTGAAAATGCTACCAGCTGTAAACTTTATCTTATTGGCGAAATGTCTATTATGCAGCTAAAAACATCTAGTTAATAGGTACTGCCCTTCAACAATTGGTAGCAACAGAGTCTTAGGTGGTGATAACAATGACATTATGTCTCTTTTATCACCTGTAGGTTCTTTGTATTGTCAGTTACTGGCCGTACATTCCTTCCTGGCCTCAGCGACTATAGGATAAACATCATGTGCACCGTTCTGACGAAGCCAACACCACAAATGTCACTGGGGCCCACATCATATTTTCCTTCAGAGGCTTCTGCCCGTGCGTTAGGATCCCTGATCTTCATCGGCGGGGAGGACATTTGATTCTGGGTTATAGTGAAAATCGTATGAAGCTAAGTCTGATAATCAAGTGCTGATGAAACCAGGTGATTGCAACTGAGTTGGTGGCCAAATATTCACTGGGCTCTGAGCTAGGGACCAGGAATGCAGGAACCTGCATGACCCCCTTCCTCTGCAACAGGATTCTGAAACCTTAAAGCATTTTTGGAACAAGGGAACTCCCCTGGGCACCCCGTTAGAGCAGAGGCTCTCATGTGAATACCCAAGTCTGGATGTTCCTTTAAAACTAGCCATATGCCTTTCTCTCCTGAAGGTTTGATGCAGAGTCTCAGTCTGCTGATTTAAGGAACCGTTATTTGTTATTATCCTAAATCCTGTAGAGGTTTTGGATCCGGTGTAGGAAATTTTCACAAGAACCCGGATTTCACGTCGATTTGTGATGGATTAGCATACCAAAATTGGCTTAAAGTGCACTTAATGGATGCATTACTGCAGAAGGGAGCTGCCTAACCAGAGTATTTCTAAATTTATGAAATTGAAATGCACTTCAGGTTAGCGAGCAGTCTAAATCTGTCAAAGTCACAGAGTGGGAGGCAGGTCGTTGCTGGTGGCAGAGGTGGTAGAAATCCAAAGGCAGCGCTGCCAAAACGAATTTGAGAGCCTTTGCAATGACCCTCCCTTGCACCCAGGCGCAGCCCTTTCCAGGGGCAGAAGCAGAACCTGGGTCTTCTGAGCCCCAGTGTTTGTTGAGCCCCTAGCACGTATGAGGCCGTGTTCAGACAAGCTGTGTTCATCCTTCGCCCTGCCCCACTGTACTTTCGTAATGGGTTTTCCCATCGTCAACCTGAATTCATTGGCACTAGCACACACTGATGGTTCAGGGTGGCCTTTGGTCTTTCCCTAAGTGTTTGCTTTCTGAGCCTTGGTCTCCTTACCTGAAAAATGGGGATAAGTAATTTTGGCCTCTCAGGCAGCTGTGAGGGTCAAATGAAGTAGCATGGGAAAGTGCTTAGCAGAGTGCCTGTCACATGGTGGGGCCTTGCAGGTCCCCCTATTCAGGAGAGGACCAAGTCTTAGTCATCATAGTGGCTCCAAAATTTAGCCTAGTGTGTGGCACATAGCAGGTGTTCAGAGAATGTCTGCTGAATGAATGAATGAGTGAATGAATGTGATTTTAAGGATCAGGGTAGGTTTCTGACCTTCCAGTTTTTCTGGTATCCTTGCACTGTCTCTTACAGAATCTTTATTCAAGTTACATGTGTTCACTGATTCAATCAATCCATCAACAAACATTTATTATGTGGCTATTATGGGCAAAACTAATTTCCATAATGATGATTACTAATAACAACTAATACTTTGAACTCTTACTAGGTCCCAAGAATTGTGGTTAGTATTTTTCAAACGTTCTGTCTTTAATCTTCACACGAGCCCAGTGAGGCAATGTATCAGTGAGTTACAGCCACGATAATGCTGTGTAACAAAACTTTGACATTCAGTGGCTTACAACCACCATCTTACCTACCTTCCTCATGTGTCTGTAGGTCAGCCGAAGCAGCTCTGAGGCCTGCTGTGGGTGGGATGACATGGCTCCAGGTTGCAAGTCGAGTCTAGTCTGCTCCATGTGTGTTCCTTCTGCAACCTCGCTGGAAGAGGCAGCTACTCAGGACATGCTCTTTTCACGGGGGACCAACCAGAGCACAGGAAAGCAGGCCCAGCCCTGCAAGCACACTTCGTCCTCTGATCCAGTGACATTCCCCAATATCTCATTGTCTAGGGCAAGTCCAAAGTCAAGGAAGGGGGAAGAACAATCCACGCACTATGAGGCTGTGACGAGGGTGTGGATGTGCAATATCACCAGGGGAGAATGAAGAATTATGGAGATCAATAATTCAACCCACCACCAGTAGGTACTATTGTAAGCCCCAAACACAGAAGTGACTTGCCCAAGATCACTCAAATAGTGGGTGACGCAAATAGGATTTGAACCCAGGTGATTTATTATAACCCCACAATAATGCAGGCCTAGAGTACACTCACAGGAAGGGGGTAGTTGTCTTCTTCAATTATCTACATTTTTTTCACCCACGAGTTGCCAGAGCCACGTGGGCACCAACCTCTTTCACGGTTACACATCCCTGTGTCCATCCATCCACCCATTCACACTGGCCCGGCAGTCGGGTGTTCTCTCTCCACTCTCCAGAATAACAAGCCCAAGTGCAATTCTTGGGTCATTTTTGGAAATTAATGTTGAGGGGGGAAAAAAATCGCCTTCCAGTTAATCTCAGGCACGTGTATAAATACCTTTGGAAAGTCCCCGGTGGAATTCGTATCAAAGCAGCACCGTGATTTTACTTAAAAACAATTTGCTCCATGTCAACCGTGATTTCTGACACCTGAATCTGAAAGTGGTCTGGGTGGGCCGAGCGCCATCTCCATAACAGAGTCATGTGTTTACTCGGAGGTGGGAGAGGAAAGACGGCAGTATGTGTGGCCCGGGAATAATCCCACCCTTACAGGAGGGGATTTCCTCCGTGGTGTTTCCGTAGGGCCTTCCCTGTGTTTGTTTAAACCCGTTGCACACTCTGGCCTGACAGCTGCTTGGCCCAGGGCCTTCCTTGCAGACGCGTGCACAACCAAGCCTCTTTAACAGCAACCTGCACTGTGTCTCCTGCTGCAATTACTCCAGTATATAAACCTCACTGAAAGGCAGGCTTTTCTTGGGAGCTAATAAATAAGCCCCAAAGCCACAACGTGTGTAAGACCTTGAAAAATGGCATCATCATCTATTGGGAATTGTGAACCCTGCAAAAAGCAGCTCATTGTATTTTCAGAAAAAGGTTTTTGTTTAAAAAAAATAATAATAAAGAACAAAAATCACCAAGTGGAGTCTATACGGGAAAAGCAATCTAGTCTGAGATTCCAAGGCCGGTCTCCTTGCTGCGTTAATCTTTCTGTGCAGATTTTATGTAAGAGGCGTTATTTGCAGGAAAACAAGACAGGGTTCCAAGGAACTCCTCTCTCATCCCAGTTTCCCATGTGCAGTTATAATCCTCCAGTTGTGACCTCTGCATTAGTTGCCATGGATGCGGAGCAGAAGTTTACCACCTCAGGGTGGCTTGTGGCTTCTGGGGGTGAGAGGAAGCTTTAAGCAGTAAAGAGAAAAAGGGGGAAAGGCACTGTCAGGAATCGGCCTTCACACGTGTGCGCTGGCACACTACAGTTTGCAAGCGCGTTCAGCTCCACTCCGGGTTGCTTTGAGGAACAGGGTGCGGGACTCCGGCCATGGGAACATGAGCAGTCAAAAGACTGCGGATTCTTTTGTCCCCTGACCTTAGTTTCTTGAGAGGCTTAGTTTCTTGGTGCTCGAAGCGCCCCCCTGAGCGAGCCTTCCAGAATTTCCAAGTGTCTTTTCTTTAGCTGACGGCATTTTCAGCCCAGAGTCCAGGGAGCCACTGGTGCCGCTTCCTTGCCCTGGGCTGCCCAGGTGGTTCCCTGGAGCAGCCGCCGCGGGCCACTGCGGCAGGCAGCGGCGCTCCGGGTCCCTCTCAACCCTCCCTCCCCGCACGAGCAAACCCGCTGGGCCGAGGAGCCCCGGCCAACCTTCGCGGGATGCAAAAACACAACAGAGGGCGCCGAACCCACCAGCACCGTGGCCTTGAATATTAATGTATGGGCTGGCTCCAGACCGCCAAGTTCCTTAGAAATGTCTCCGGCTAGGTGTCACTGCCAGACTCCAGAGGTTTCGGTTTACTTCTTATTTGGAATCACCGCATCACACGAACCGCGTTTACTTGGAGGGGGAGGGGCGGGACCAGCCCCACCGCTCGGCGCACACGCCTAGATCTCACATTCCAGACCCGAGCCGATGTGTGTCAGCGCGACATGGGGCGGGGGCAGGGTTCTCTTCGGATATTTCATTCGCCATCTGCACGTCACTCCCAAACTTTTCCTCCCTGCGCTCGGAGAGTCAGGTTGACGCGCCCTGGATGCGGGGCTCGAGGCGCGGGGCTGGGCGCGCTCCCGCGGAGCTGGAGCCGCAGAGCCTCCCGGGCTGGACTCGGGCTTCTCAGGTACAAGTTGGCAGCCAGGCGCCGCGGCGGGGGCGGCGAGGAGGGGCGGAGGTCTGGCTGCGGGCTCGGGGCTGCGGCGCCCCTCTGCGGGCTCCGGCCGGGCTGGGCGTTGGGAGTCCGGGCGGCGGAGGCTGCGCGCAGCCTCACTCCCCGCGGCGCTCCCGGCGCGGCGGCGGCGGCGGCGGCCCAGGCAGACAATGAACTTGCGAGCGCGCCGAGCCGAGGCAGGTTTGGGCCCCGCACCCCTCCACCCGGCCTCCGAGAGGCTTCTGAGAGCCCCAGCGGAAGGCGTCCTTCGCCATGGGTCCCGGTCGCTCTCCCAGCGACCTGCGCGCTTAGGGACCCCGCGGAAGGGCCGCCCGGCGGCGGCGCCAGGGCTCGCACGCCCCCTCCCTAGCCGGAGAGAATACGGCCAGAGCTCGGGGACAGGGGACCGGCGGTGGCGTGGTGGCGCTGTGGACAGCTCGGAGGCCTGCGGGCGGCGGGGGGGGGGAGCGCACGTCGCGGGGCACGCACTGGCCGGCTGTCCGGGAGAGCGAGCCCGGGAGTCAGAATCGGACGGACAGACGGACAGCCCGGCGCCTTCGCAGTGAGAGCGCGCGCTGGCCCGCGGTGGGAGACTGGAATTCCCCCCAGCCGTGCGCTCCATCCCCCCCGCCCCCTGCTCCGCTCCGCCGCACTTCGGGGAAGTTTCCAGGCGTGGCCTGGGGCAGGTAGGTGGGCATCACCACTCTGTCCGGGCTCTGGCTGAGAGCCGCCTCCAGAACCCGACTCTAGCTCCGCGGCCGCTCCAGGCGGGGAGGAGGGGGCTCTCCGGCGCAGACGCCCGTGGGACCCAGCTCCGGGAGGGGGGCCCGCGGGGCGGGCCTGGGAAGAAACGGGGGCGCGGCTGAGCCCCGAGCGCTCTGAACTTTTGCTCCCCGCCCCCTCCTTCCCGCCCTGCCCCCGCCCCCGCCCCCTGTCCCTTCCGTGCGCCCCGCAGCGTCTCGGGAGGCGGCGTGACTCGGGAGTTGCCGGCGCTTCCCGGCGGCTGCGGCGGCGTCCCCGGCCGGCCTGGGCGCGGCGAGCCGAGCGCAGCAGGTCTGAGCCGCGCGGTGGGCGGCGGTGGTGAGCCCGGGGCTCCGGGCGGCGGAGCTGTGGGGAGCCGGGTGGCGGCGGCCCCGGCGCGGCGCGGGGGCGACGCCGGCGATCGTGACAGAGCGCGAGTCTGTTGGGTTGTGTGCGGCGGTGGAGAGGACGCGGTGGCGGCTGTGGGGGGCTGGGTGGGGGCTGTGGCGCAGTTGGCCCCCGGGACCCCCCTGAGATCGCGGGATGGAGGCGCGGGGCGGAGGGAGCCTCGCCTTTGGGGGAATGAATGAAGAGCCGGGGAAGCGCCTTCCTGACTCCTCCGGGCGAACCGATTGGCCGGCGCGCGCGCGGGTGTGCGTGTTTAGGATTCCGAGCCGCCTGAGTCCTGGGCACCGCGGCTTGGCCGCCCCGTCGCGATCTGGGTGCCCACGCTGCCCGCCCGCCCTGCGCCCGGGTCGGTCGGCGGGCTGGAGCAGTGGGAGTGGACGCGGAAGGCTGGGGCTTGGTTTCGGGCTGCCAGCTTAGGGAGATTCTGGAAAGAGGCGACAGGCTGGGGCTGGGGCCAGCTCCTCGGGCCCCACCCCCGTTCTTCGGTCTCCCGGTGGGCGCGGAGCCGCTGCGGCAGCTGGGCTCCTTCGCCGTATTCATGTTGGGTGAATTGATGGTCCCGAGTTGTCAGGACTGAAGTGTGGCTCCGGGAAGCCCCGAGAAGGGACGTGGGGAGCCGCTCAGTGATGCTGGGCAGAGGGGCTTGCTCTGGTTCTGGGCTCCCCGGCAGTGCCTGTCCTCTCAGTCAGCTGCAGTTGCTGAGTGGTGCGGGACGCCTGGGTGGGTTATGGTAGCCACCCAGGGCTGGAGCAAAGAGGCCACCTGAGGGCATCTGCACCCCCTGAGGGGCTCAGGGGGAAACTGAAGCCTAGAGATTTGTCCAAAGTTTCTCTTGATCGCTCTCATCCCATTCTCCATCCTAGCCTTTCCTACTCCCCTGCCCCCAACCATTGCAAAATCAGGACCCCTCCCTCCAGAACATGGCACTTGCTAATTTTACAATCTGTATGTTGAGCTGGGATCTCTTGGTTGATACATAAAGACATAGAGATCATATATGATTTTGTTCAAAATAGCACAAGAATAAAAATGCCTTCAAATTAGGTAGTTTTTACTAAAACAAGTTTTCCTCCCCCAAACTCCTGAAAAACTGGCAGGAAGATTTTATTTCCCTCCACCTCCTGGATGGGCACACTGAGCGTGGAGGTGAGGTGGCTTGTCCTGGTCTCCCCACTAGCACCTAGGGAGGTGGAGCTGCAGGTCTGGGCTTCTCTCCAAAGCCCAGCTCCCCGGGAGAGCCGTCCAGGGCCCTCTGTAGGAAGTCCAGTAGTGTCCTTGCATCTTTCCCTCTTGGGCATTGCGTGACTGCAGTGAGGCGGCTTGTGGGTGAAGCATGCAGGATTAATTAATTCAGGATATTGTACATTGGATGGGGAGGCAGGTCTGCTAACAGTGGATCACATGCATGCCCTGCTTTTCTCTTCAATGATCTGAGCTCACTGTGTCTGAACCACTGTCCTGATCTGGGACACAGCACTGTCACTGTGGCTGCTGTGAGGGTGGCTGTTTCCTTCCACACCGTCCTCATCCCATGTTGCTGCTGCCCCTGGCCAGGAAAGGTGAGATGTCAGAAGAGGCGTTTGGTTTTTCACATGCCTGGGAGAGAGACAATTAATCCCTGTGTCAGGAAGAAGCGATGTTTGCAGGAAAGGTTGGGAAGCAGACTTCGTTTATTTGGTGTCTTGAGAGAGAGAGCAGAGAAAAAACTTGAAGTTAACTAGCTGGGCCCCAGGAGCCTCAGGCCCTTTGACCCGAGCAAGGGGAGCTGTAGATTAGTGCTGGGTTGGGCTGGTCCAAGCCCCTTAGAGTTGAACTGGACGGTGCCCTGCTGGTGCAGTGGGGTGGGGAGAAGAGGGCAACCCTGGGGCTGTTCCGAACAGGTGAGCGAACGCCCACCCACAGGGGGCAGCCTCACGCAGCTCCTGGCAGTCCAGGGCGAAAGCAGAGTTGACAGGTCTTGTGAATTTTCGGAAGAGAATTCTCAAGCCTGGATATGTAAGCGTGGGCTCACATTCTAAAAGTATGGTAGAGGATTAAGGGTGAGTGTCCTTCCATGAGGTCTGAAGCTTGACACCTGGCCCCATGTTTACATATTGGGAAGGGTATCACACCATCAGAGAGCCGTGACACATGACAGGACTCAGGAATCACATGCCTTGTGGGCCGAGGGACTAAGAATGGATTGGGTGTCTATTGTGGCCTCACCCAGGTGCCAGGGCTGCAGATGAGGTCTGCTGAGACCCCCGTCACATGCTTGTGTGTTATATTTAACACATTGACAGCTGCCACACACAGGAACCCCAGAAACTCTTCCTTGGGCCACAGCTTTTTGTTATGAAAATAGAATAAAAACTTTGAGTGTAAATTAAAGGTAAACATAAATAAAAAAACAAAATTGGTTGACTTCTACTCATTTAATCCACATTTTTAGATTAAATTGTCACTATTAATTGTAACAATAAGAACATCAACAAGTAAGATCTTATATATATGCTTCACGCCGCCCCCGGGGCCAAAACTAGAATGAGTTAAATAGAACTCTCACGGTAGTTAATGTGTTAATGAATTCTCATCGTGTATAAAGTCAGACTCTGCATAAAACTGTCCATATCGTCCCATTCCCCAAATAGATCCCACGATTGAGTCTCTGAGATGGTCGGGTGGGGATAGGACAGACAGGTCCCAGCCCTCAGAGGGGGACAGACAGAATCACCTGCCCCAGACAGACACGTGGTCTATGAGCTGCCCTGAGTGGTGGGGGCCAGTAGGCAAAGCAGGGCACCGGGAGGGGTGGGCTGTGGGGGAGGGGCGAGGAGCCTCCTTTTCCAGGCGTGAACCTTGAGGTTCAGAGCAATGGTGTGACTTGCCCAAGATCACACAGCTGGTAAGTGGGAAGTCAGTGGGTCTCTGATCTCCAGCTCTTGGGCCAGCTCCCTCGCCTCCTCCAGGCCAGGCTGGGGCCTTTTAGAAACTCCCAGATGAATGGAGACTCCCTGCAGTTGTCAGCTCTCATTTTCCTGTCTGCGCGTCCAGGCCCTGTCCCATCCCCGGGGCCTCAGCAGACCCAGGATCGCACAGATGCCATTTGGAGCCCATTTGTATGAGCGAGGAGTTGGCTTAAATTCTAAAAGCAGAAACTATATTTAAAAGTAGTAGCAGACTTGCGAGTATCATTGATGAGAGCAATCTGTCAGCGGACATCTCTTTAGTAGCATGTGACTTAGAAGTGACTCAGTTGCTGGTGAGAACAATGCAGCCTAGCTGCCCTCTGGTCTGTAGAGTGGGGTGCTCAGGTGTGATACGAAGTGACTTCAAGGGGCAGCTTTGTTGGTGCCGTGAATGAAGAGATCCCGTTCGCGCTTAGCTGGCTGAGCACTGGGGGGCTGTTTCCACTTGCACAATGTCGTTCTTTATTGGCCTCTGTCATTAGGGTCTGATTTCTTTACTGAGACGGCTTCTCCTTTCTAATAAAGCACTGGGACAAAATGATTTTGTGTCAACTTATGTGTCCACGGCATGACCTGGGGCATAAAGGGAGCAGTTATCTAGTTGGTGTGTCCAGTTAGTTATCTCGTTAGTAGTTAGTGTCCAGGAAGAAAAGTGAAGGTTTTGTGTCCCTTTGGGCCAATGTAGAATTTTCAGTTTGAAGCGTGGGAGCTGGGGAGGGAGACAGTTGATTATAACAGCTGTCATGTGTCATGTCCCTACAGGCTTGCAGCTGGCCCTGTGTCAGGCAGGTCACACAGGCGTGTCTCCGTGTGTTCGTTAAGGGCTAGAAGGCTGTTAGAGAGGACACACCCCGAAGTTGGTACTGTCTGGGTGTG